AGCAGCGGCGCCGAGCAGCAGTCAGTGGCCGCCGAGCTCGGCAGGCAGGTGAAGCAGCTGCAGGAGGAGCTGCACTTCCGCGAGATGGACCTGCGTGAGCTGCGCGAGTACCTGCAGGAGGGCGGCGACGAACTCTTGGAGCGCGAGGCCGACACGGAGCGGCTGCAGCGCCAGGTGACGGAGCTGCAGCAGCAGCTGGTGCAGCGCGACGAGGCGCTGCGGGACCAGCAGGCGCTGCACGCCGACCTGGAGCAGCTGCTGGCCAGCCGTTCCCAGCGCGTCGACGAGCTGGAGGCGCGGCTGGAGCGGCGCGCCGCCCCGCCGGCCATCCAGGAGGAGTCTGGCGAGCAGTCGAACTCGGCCGACGCCAGTTTCGGCAGCCGGCTGCGCGCGCTGCGCTCCATGACCGGCGCAGTGCTGCGGCAGGTGGCTCGCACTGACGGCGAGCGGCAGCCGTCGCCAGCGCCACCCCAGCCTGCCACCGGCCAGCCGGCGCCGCAGACCACCGAGCAGGAGTCACAGACAGACAACGACGCCGCTGCAGCAGCTGCCGACGAGGAGCAGCAGCTGCAGCTGGCCGAAATCCGCGCTCAGGTGGCCGAGCTGCAGCGCACTTCTGACGAGCTGAAGGAGGAGCTGCGCGTTGCCACTGACCGCCTGGACGCCCGGACCGCTGAGTGTGCCGAGTTGCGCAGCAAGTGTGAGGAGCTGGAGCGGTCGGCGGCGGCCGAGATCGAGCCCCTGCGCCAGCAGCTGAGCCGGCTGACTGAGGAGCGGGACCGCGTGGCCGGCGAGGCGCAGCGCGAGCTGGAGGAGCTGCAGCGCCAGTACAAGGAGGCGCTGCACCACCGCTCCGAGGCGGAGGCGGACGCGGCCGTCTGCGAGCGCGAGATGAAGACGCTGCGAGCGCAGTTGGAGCGCGAGCGGCACGGGGACGGCTCGCTGCAGGAGCGACTGCGGGCGGCTGAGGCCGAGGCCACTGTGATTAGAGAGAGTCGTGACCAGGTGAACGAGGCGCTGCGAATCATCAAGGCCGAGCTCGAGGCTAAGAGCGAGGAGCTGCGGCAGAACAACGCGGTCGAGCTTCGAGCGCAGCTGGAGCGGTCCAGGGCAGAGACCAGCCACCTCCGTGACGAGATCGAGAAGCGCTCCAATGAGCTGCTGAAGCTGAACATCCACCTGGAGGGCCTGAAACGTCAGCTAGTGGAACGCGACGAGGACCTGCAGAAGGCCAGGGACGACCGCTCACGGGCCATGCAGATGTCCGAACAGAACATCCGGCGCAAGAACGAGGAGCTTAACCGGGAGCGGAACGAGAGTTTACACCTGCGAGACATGATGGCGCGACTCACACCCCGCTCGAGCTCCACGCTGCAGTCAGAACTGGAGAGCGTGCGGGCCGACTGCCGGCGCAAGGACGACCGCATCGAGCAGCTGGAGGCGCGCCTGCGCCAGTCGGAGCTGGCCACGTGCACGCCGACGCCGCGCAGCACCTGCGACCGCTCGCGCTCGGTGCAGATCGTCGAGGAGGAGGAGGAGGGCGGGGTGACGCCGATGGTGCTGCGCGGCCGGTCCAGCCGCAGCAGCCGGCGGACCACCTCCCGCGCGCCGCCGCCGCCCGCCGAGACGGACCACTCGGAGACAGAGGGCAGCGAGCACCCCTCGGAGACGGGCACCGGCCGGCGCCGGCGCACCCGGCGCGCCGCCAACGCCGTCCGATTCACCGACGAGAACGCTGCCGCCTCGGAGGTGTCGGAGTCGGGCTCGACGGCGTCGGGCGCGGGCCGGTCGCGCGAGCCGCTGTCGGCGCTCAGCGAGCAGCAGGTGACCGCCGTCACCCCGGCCGACCAGCCGGCGCCGCCGCGCACCGTCAAATCGACCGGCACCAAACGCAAGCTGTTCAAACGCAGCTCCGACCAGATCATGGAGTGCTCACCAGTTGAGGTAAGGAGGCTTGTACCGGTACATGTAACGTTTGACTGGTGGGACTGAAATGCGATGTGCAACAATGTGGAATATGCACGTCCCTTTTTCAGTGCACGGTGCTGCTTTCCCGAAGTTAAGTTTCACGCGCTAATTAGTAAACAGTAGAGCTAAATAGTAGCCGGTTATGGAGTGTATTCCGGTTATTATAACGTTACGTATGCATGGATGACAAGATGTACGAACAATTTGCTTTATCCGCCACTTTACGGGATTTTATGGGAAACGAAATCTTGTTCTCGGTAGGTGCTACCAAAAAATCATGCTGACCCCTGCAGCAGAATTAAATAAGACTCGCTTTCATTATTATTGCTAAGAGCATCAAAGTCCATGGTAAAATCAGTTACCGCGATGGCTTATCGTGGGTGTCGTTTTATATGTAGGTCCAAGCATTCCACGCTGTCTGCCGGACGTCAGTTCAGTAATGTCTGTGTTTTCTGTCCCATTTCAGGTGACTGAGAAGCGTGTGACGCCGCGGACGGTCGTCACGCGAAGCCTGCGCTCCCGGAAGAAGTGAAAATACTGATAGGCATGGGGCCTGCCACGCCGGCTGTGTCGCCTCGGAACACTCGCGCCGCGGTTACCGAGAGCCGCTGCCCCACGGTGGTTGACATAACGTGTTTTGTCTGTGAGCTTGTGTGATTGTCGCATCGCCATCGAGCCCGTCGCGGCCTTCTTTCCAACCTTTCCCCTCTTTAACCAATCGCTGTTGAAAGCCTGGTGAACGCTTTATAACATATAATCGTAATAAACGAGGAAAAAGACTGTTGAATTGTGAGACGTAGTGCCGGTTAGCCGTGTTGTCAATGCGTTGTGGGTCATTAAACCCGCCCTCCCCGAACCGAAGCGCAGAGTCGGCAGCTTCAGTCAGGCTCGTCGGGCAGCTGATGCCTGCTCACACGGACCACTGCCTAGCGGACTTCAATAAGAACGTGCGGCATCACATTGCGTGGCTGGGTTAGCGCCGCCAGACGAGACCTCCGAATCGCACACGACGCCGGCAGTCGGCCGATGACACAAACAGCGGCCATTTATTCAGCCTAAAAACGTACAGCACATAGCGGTCATCGAGCCTCTGAGAGTCAGAGTCGTGACCAATCAAAGTTCATCTCGGTCGCGCACGCCCGGCCAGCCATGCACAAATCATGCAACAGTATGGACAATTATACAAACTGACCGGCTTTTACAAGGTACATTTCTTCTCGATAACGCTGGCGTACTGCGCTGTTGCATGAGTTACGTTCTAGTCACTTGCAGTATTATTGCCAACAGGTTGGTATAGTCACGGTTCCTTCTAAGCCTCAGCAGGATTCACCGCTCCAAGACCGTGTTCGATGTTATTGAACACCGAAAACCGATAAAGGGTACAAGGGAACGCTGAATGTTATACTCGAATCCGTCCAAATATCCTATGATCATTATGGTATCATTCGAAATTACACCGAAAATTATTTGAGCTAAAGGAAACTGCAAAAATGATATGCCATTTAAAAGCCATCCGGACGTATTTATGTGCGTGGGTGCGGATGTGTACGCCATGTGCGGGTATAATTGTGTGCGTCATGAGTGTGTGCATACGAACGCTGTGCTAACGTGTGTATGTGTGTACCATAAGCGTACGTGCGTGAGTGAACAGTCCAAACGTGATCATATTTTCGTTCCCGTGAGCAAGGACTGAATATTGTGTGCTGTGTATGTGTATGTATGTGTTTGGATGTTGGCGCACTCCGGTAAGCTTTAAATGACAATCTTTCCTGCAGATTAAGTTAAAAATGAAACGACCAGTTTTAAAACGGTCGATTTTTCAGAAATGTGAAAGTGATACCCCCAGAATTTACGGCAACTAACGTAAACGCGAAAAACGATCACCATTCGTCAGTCTAGAGCAGTTGAACTGGCGAAGCGCCCTGGACTGGCGGTCTGGGCTCGGTACGGTGGTTCGCCGCAGTGACTAGAACACTGCAGCTGGCTGACCTGGCTGCGCAGCCGCCCCAGCTCCGAGCGCAAGTCCTGCCGACAGACAGCGGGTCGAGTGTGAGCGACTGATGGGAGTCCGGAGCGACAGAGCGACCGTACCACAGACAGTCGGTTCATACTAACACAGCTTGGACATATGTTGAGAATGTCACACTACTAGCATAAATGCACATTTAAATTATAAGAATGATCCCCCTTGATCATCTTATTCACTCAATATATGTATATGTTCATACTTCATAGGCCACTGGCCACCAACCAATTCAATGCAAAATAAGTGATAACACAATAACACAGAACGACAAAATGGCATTTCTCACATTACGAGGGACGATTGGAGCACTCAGTGGTAGGTGAATGGGTAACGACTCGTTCTGGGACTCAGCCTGCGTTAGCAGCGTAAAAACTTTTGGTACTCACCCTGTGTTAGGAGCTGGAGCGGTGGCGGCGCGACCGTTTCCGCGACCCTGACCGAGAGCGGCGAGACCGCTTCTTGGCCTGAGAATCCGAGTGTCGCCGTCCCCGAGACGTGGACCGCCGCCCTCTAGACGTGGACCGCCGCCCTCGCGATCTGGAGCGACGATCCCGCGAGCGGGACCTGCGTTCCCGCGACCTGGAGCGACGGTCCCGTGACCTTGAGCGGCGTTCCCGCGACCTCGAGCGCGACCGGCGCGACCTCTTGCGCGCCTTCTTTCTCACTGACTCTGACCCCGAGCGCGAATCGGATCTTGCTCGGGACGACGCGCGTCGGTCCTTTTTGCGCCGAGCGTGCCGCGACTTACTGGCTGTCCCAGAGTCCGAGCGGGACCGAGAGCGCGACCTCGAATGGTACGACCGTCGCCGCGGCGACCCCGACCGCGATCGGCCGCCCTCTTTCCGCGAGCGTGACGAGGAGCGGCGCGAGCGTTTTTTGCTGCGGGCCGGCGACGAGCGGTGGGACCGGCGCTCGGACGACTCCGAGCGCCGCGAGCGCCGCTCCCGGTCTTTCTTCTTTTTCTTCTTTTTGCCGGAGGTGCGACTGCGAGCCGCGGAGCTGGCGGACCCGACACTGTCCGAGGGACTGCGGCGGGAGGCCGGACTGGCCCGGACAGCCGGCGCCGGGTGGCGGGTCTCGCCGCCGCCGGCTGCGGTGGTGGCCGGCGGGCTGGCCGGCCGCTCCGGTGGCGGAGGCGGGGGCGGCGGGTGCTTCGGCCGCTGCGGCTCCCCTGTAACACGCCGGTAGGGCGGGGTGCGAGACTGGGGCATGGCACGGACGACCGAGCAAAGCCTCCGGCGGTCCGATCACCACGGCAGCCCAAGGGGGAATATACCGGCCGAAACTTATACCCTCTCTACACGGAGTTCCTTCCTAGCTAAAACGAAAACGAATCCAGAAGTCCACAGAAAGTTGGCATTATATATGCATTATTTGCAAACCTAACAACGAATCTGACGGGTGTTCTTGACTGGGCGTATCATTTATGATGCATGGGGATTCGAGTCTCATCAGGTCACCAAACAACTGGGTAAAAAATATACTTTTAGGTTCGTTGTCCTAGCATAATGTTACAAAATATTTAATTCCCAATACGTAAAGAAAAAAATGCATTTTTTTATCCAGTGAGGTTCCACCAAGTCCTTCCCCCAAGGTACTTACGGTTGTCTTGTTTTCCCGGGCATTATTTCTAACTATTTCTTTAGGGTCCCAATTCATTCAGAAGAAAGGAGGACTATAAGGAAGTGTACTGTGACAGTATAGGCACGATATGGAACCAGCAACCAGTCTTAGAATCGCGGGGAACTAATTTGGTTGTAAATGGCTTGAGCTAGCCCCTGGTCAACATAAACATTTTGTCTTCATAAAAAACAAAAGCACATTTAACCCATCAGCTGCACCTCTACAGATTTCTGTTTTTTTTTTTTAGAAACACTTATCAGGAATTTTCATGACCTTGGGTGAACAGACAGGGTAGAGGGAGGGGCGGTATCCCGATGTCGGCAGGAGCACCATGACTGGAGCCTTAGGACACGTCAATACATAATGCAGGTCACTTGTTTAGGTAGCGTCAGATGGCCAATTTGTTGAGCTGTCGTAAACAAGCTTACAAATGAGCTATAGCAGCACAACTTTAACAACTCAAAACTTGAAAAGCTTTACACTATGTGTTATATAGAATTATGAAACCTTAAGTAACCTTAAGTACAAAAGTAGTACGTCAGTAATTCATTACGCAATGCGCCGTGAAGGGAGTTTGGTCGCCGCCTGCGCCATGCCAGTGGTGGTTGGTGTCGGTGGTTGTGGCGATGTCGCGCTGCCCGCCGCGCCGCGAGGTCGCTCACCGTGCACTGCGCTGCGCTCCCCGCCCCTGCCCTGCTCCTGCTCCTCCTCCTGCTGCTCCGTCTGCAGGCGAGCCATGATCTCCCGCTCGCGGACGGCAAACTCCTGGCGCCGCCGGCGGATGGCCGCCTCCAGCTCGGCGTCGCTGTCCGAGTCGTCCCCGCTGCCGTCGGCGCGCCGCGGCCGCTGCGAGTCGTCCCCGGAGTCGGAGTCGGACTCGGAGTCGGACGAGCCGCTGCCGTACATTGCCAGGCCGAGTCCTGGCCGGCCGACGGCACGGTCAGAGCCCGTCAACACACAGCGAGAGAGCGAGGCACAGAGGGCCCGATACTGGGCATACAGATATAGCACGGGAGTAGCTACACTACGCCAACATAGAACAGAAAGGCGGCACCGTAAGCCGGTGGTATTTAATAGCTGCTTGACAGAATAAGGCATTTCAAACGGGCTACACTTATCTCGCCACTTATCTCGAACTGACGATTGGAAACACGAATTTATTACCAGAAAAAACAAATCGAGGCAATGACCGAAGAGAATGTTTGTAGAAAACCAGTTTCTGATACACAAAATACGAGCGAAAATCACCCCGAGGGTCGGGCGCTGTTACTTACCAAGCGGTCGGCTTACAGTGGGCACAGCTTGGACTCGCTTCTGCGGCGCTTTACCGTGAGAGCGACAAGTCAGGTGGATGTGAAGACACACAACCGTGCGCCCGTCGAGCTCGGGTGGGGGGTCGGGGCGGGAGGGCAGGGGCAGGGGAGGGTGGAGAGGGGCGCTGGGGCCGCTGTAATACACTGAACGGACATCATGGCGACACCAGCGTCCGAGACGAGCGCACAGGCAACGCTCTATTCCCCCTCTCAGCATCAACTGACCTAATGAGAGCTACACTCAGCCTGACTTATCCGGCCCACTACCTTATATACCACCGCAACACTGCAGCCAGCGGCACACAACCATCTATTGTAAACCCTTGACACACAAGACTCAGCCCGAGCCATCAGCCCGCGCCCGCTGCTGTGAGCGCTGCGGGCGGTGCCGGGCGGCGCGGCGGTTCCGTCCCGACCCGAGCCAGTCTCCAGCCGGCGCGCGACCCCGGGTCGCCGGCTGGCCATACCTTTGTCGCGCTGTCGCTGTAATACCTCCTCGGCCAGATCTCTCATCTCTGATCCGGTGACGTCGAGCAGAAGCTCCGTCAGGAACCGGCGCACCAGCGCCAC